AGCCGCCTGGATTTTTGAACTTTCCTTGGGGTGTGTGACTATGCCCTTTCTGGGGGATGTACCTGTGGCCACCTGTACCTCAAAGTTTACATCACTGGAACTAATGTGTAGAGATTTCACAGGTTTCCATAAGGAGAGCACAAAGCGTTCAGGTTTACTCAGATGTAAGAGAATGCTTTCTCTCCAGCAGGAATAATGCATATAGTGTCAGTCTCCCATCAAGGGTGTGTGAGCAGGGAGAGGCAGGACACGGTTCGAGGTCATCAGAGCAGGACTCTGAAATAAGACGCATCCATTTTGACATTGAGGCATGCCATTTAAAGAGGGCATGGGGACCATCAGAAGGCTCAGAAAATGGCGACCAAAACAATCAAGAGTGTAGGGCAGGGGTAGGCAACCTAAGGTCTGTGAGCCTGATGTGGCCTAATCGCCTTCTCAATCCGGCCCGCGGATGGTCTGGGAATCAGCGTGTTTTTCCATGAGTAGAATGTGTCCTTTTATTTAAAATGCATCTCTGGGTTATTTGTAGCGCATAGGAATTCGTTCACCTCCCCCCCAAAAATATAGTCCAGCCCACCACATGGTCTGAGGTATGGTGGACTGGCCCACAGCTGAAAAAGGTTGCTGACCCCTGGTGTAGGGCATCTCCCCCTGTGTGGAAAGCATTTGGGACTTGTTAGATTAGAGAAGAGGCAAATATATTGCCCACTATACATTGGACCCAGGAGGCAATTTTTCATCCTACCGTGCATATAGGAAAGATGTCTCTCCCCAGCAGAGAAGGTCCTATGACTTCCTAGCAATATAAACACTTCAGTAACTCATAAAGTCGCCAGAAAGATCAGAAAGACGACCCTGGACAATATACGTAGCAGTGAAATGTAAGGGAGTCACAGAGATCTAAATAGAGATTATTATTTGTTGCGTGACAACACTTTTGCTTGTATTTTTTTTTTAATTCAGATTTGTCATGGCCAATGGCTAGCACAATAAAGTTATTTAGATATAAAATTATGCATGGCCTCACTTGTAGAAATTGGAAATGTTAAAATGTTATACTTGCAGGAATTGGTAAGTGGATACCTGACGGTTAAGGTATCCACTAATAACTAATAAGTTTTTTAAAAAATTATTGCCACAATGTAAATTAGAAATAGCTGGAAAAACAGTGCAGCAACAAGAGGAGACTGAGTACATTGAGGATGGACTGCGGGGAACCCGTTTTTGGAAAAAAATATTACATTTGCTTTGTGGTTGATTAAAATTTGGAAAATCAATAAAAACATTTTGGTGAAAGAAAGAAAGATACTATGCATGGCATGGAGAAAATGAATAGAGAAAACTTTTTCTCCCTCTCTCCTAACACCAGAACTCGTGGACACGCAATGAAGCTGATGTTTGGGAGATCCAGAACAGACCAAAGAAAGCACTGCTTCATGCAGCTCATAGTTAAACGATGGAATTCAATCCCGCAGGAGGGACTGTTGACCACCAACTATCAGGGACTGGGTAGAGGAGAAATGGTGGAGACCGTCTCCCCAGCCTGAACCTTCCGGAGAAGAGGGAGACAGTTCAGAATTACAACAGGGGTTTGAGGGAGGTCACAGCTCAGAGGTAGATGAAGGGCAGAGTTGGGAAATAATGGGAGAGGAGAAGGAGGCAGAGCCAGAGCAGCTGGCTGACACGTTGTCCCTAGAAAGCATTCCAGACCCCCCTTCTCCCAGAACCCAGCGAGCATTGAAAGTCAGCGAGCAAAGGGCTCAGAGACAAATAATAATAATAATATTTTTTTATTTATACCCCGCCCTTCCTGGTTCAGAAAACTGGGCTCAGGGCGGCTAACAACAAATTTAAAACACTTAATTGATGCAACAAAAAACAGCATAAAATACAGTATAAAACGTGAATAACAATAAATTCAGAATTCAAAAATCAATTTATGGGGAAAATCCATCCAATAAATATTAGATGATCATCAGGGCTAGCTGGCTAAGTTAGTCCTATTTGGGCCAGCGAGGACACCAGGGGAGAATTAGCTGTGGGATCCCAGAGAGGGTAATCTTCATAAAAAGGAGAGGGGGAGGGAAGGAAGGGGAATAAAAGATCAGGCTAAGTTCAAATTGAAAGCCAGGTGGAATAGCTCTGTCTTACAGGCCCTGCGGAAGGAGGTTAAATCCTGCAGGATCCTGGTCTCATGGGACAGAGTAAGGTGTTTGGTGCTGTTGATGGTTGAGGAGAGAAGAGAGGGGTGGAGATTACTCAGAGCCATTACTCTAAGAGGCAGCATTTCTAAGCATCTCTCAGTTAATATTGAATAAAAGACATTGGCAAGACTATCCTTGTCTATTTATCCCTAGCAGCCTGCTGTGAGGGGATTGGATTCCCTGACGCCTGACACCAACTTGGATGGCTTTGAAAGAAGATTGAGCAGCCCCATGGAGGAGAAGGCTATCAATGATGACGTTCTACCTCCGTGGTTAGAGACAATATGCTTCTGAATACCAGCTTCTGTGAACTGCAGGAGAGGAGAGTGCTCTTTGGGGGCTTCCTGTGGGCATCTGAAAACAGGATGCCAAACGAGCTGGGCCACTGGCCCAATCCTGCAGGCTTAGTCTTATGTTCTTAGAAGACCCACAGGCGAACCTCTCCCAAGACTCTACTCCAGCCATATCTACGCTTTCAAGAAAACGAGGTACAGTGGTACCTCGGGTTAAGTACTTAATTCGTTCCGAAGGTTCCTACTTAACCTGAAACTGTTCTTAACATGAAGCACCGCTTTAGCTAATGGGGCCTCCTGCTGCTGCCGGAGCACAATTTCTGTTCTCATCCTGAAGCAAAGTTCTTAACCTGAAGCACTATTTCTGGGTTAGCGGAGTCTGTAACCTGAAGCGTATGTAACCTGAAGCGTATGTAACCTGAAGCGTATGTAACCCGAGGTACCACTGTAGATAGTGTCGCGCAGCGTAAATTAATAATGCAGAGTTTTAAAGAATAAAGCTTTACTGAGTTAAAATAAACTCCTTCATAAACAACATGGTTCCAAACAGTTTGACTGAGATTATATACTGACTCTGTTCACAACTGAAACAGACTGACTCTCACTGAAATCTTACAGAGAGCACAAAAAAGAAACTGGCTGCTAAATCACATGTCAGAGTGACTCAACAGTTAGCAGTTCGGCCTGAATAACTTTAGTAGGCCCAAATGATTGTGCAGTCCCAGCACTTCCCAGCCTGCTTTGCTGCTTCTGCTCTCATGTGCTTCTGCTCTCATCTGCTCTCTTTGTCACATGACAGACAGATATCATTCTACATGTCTAATGCCAGACTATGAAACACCATTAAGAATTTGAGTGCCAACCAGCTTGCGGAGGTGGATGGGGTGCTGTGCCAGCAGCTGCACCCCTTCATTGCAGCCCATTTGACGGGGTTGCTGCTCACCTTGTTGCATACAATGGATGCATGAAAGCAACATTTTGGAGGACAGAGTGACGTGCAACAGAGCTGACATTTGCAAACGAGTACAAAAGGAATTCCTGCAAAGCCTGGAACTGTGCAGTAAAAAGCAGCCATACAAATAGGAAGAGCGTCTCCTTTTAATCTCCATCTGTATCTATATAGACACAAGATATGAAATGCTGTGGTGCAAATGCACACTTTCACTTAATCATGCAGTAGCAAAGACCCTTCCCTGGTGACTCATGCTCACTGTGATCTCAGAGGTGGGTAAAAACGAAGGCCAACTGCCTGAAGAAGGGATTGGTAAAGCCCCAGTTATGCTGTGAATTTGCAGAAGAAAAGTGGGAGAATATAAGTGACAGTTTTAAATTGTCCACTCCTAGCAAAGTGCTTGGTCATGCTTCAGTAGGAGGCCCCTGTGATCTTAGCTGCCTCCTTTACGAATTCTTGCAGTAAATATTCAACTGTGAGTGTTCCATTTTCCAAATGCCGATTTTATATAAGCACTAGACTGAAGAGTTCTTGTTGGTGCTGCTGAAAGGCACCTGTTTCTCAGGTAGTAGGGGGGAAAGAGAAGCTAATGAAATGACAATGAAATCCTAAAGAGGAGAAGAAGGTTCTGGGCCGGAGGGGAGGAAGTGCAAGCTATTTCCAAAGCTTGCCCTTGGATAGGTAGTCCTTTTCTTTCCCTTCTGCTTTCCATCTCCGTCTATCCCTCTCCTCACAATTTGCCCAGTGTTTCCTAGACTGGAAAAATTGGTTTCTTCTCATATGGGCCTTTTACCTGCTGCCATGTTTTTTCTAGTTGCCCTTTGTTGGAACTGCAGCAGCAAGGACAATTCAATTTGCAATTTAAGGGTTAAGTCAACTAGACAAGACGGGGGCAGGTGGAGGTGGTGCATAGCAACTCAGCTGAGTGGCATGGTGCTTATTGAAGTAGCATGCGCTCTGATTGGTTAGGTAGTTCTGAGAAACTTTTTCCTGTATGTTTGGTTGACTGTTTCTTGGCTATGTACAAGGTCTGACCTAAGAAAGGCAAAACTTCTGTTGCTTTCTCCTCTAATTACACACGGTTTTTGTTCAGATTGTCTTAGTAGGGTATTATCAGGACATTTTCATCTCTGTGTATTTATGTGACCCATATCAATTTGTCTCTGAAGGAGGTTCTCGGTGTTTCCTAGGGGATCCTTATGTGCGACAAGAGATTATTCTGGAATGCATCGCCAGAACAGGACTATTTCACTGAGTGATTTATATCCTGCTATCTCAAAGAAGCTCACAAAATCAAAATCAAGCAGCATATAACAAAACCTCATCAGTTGATAAAGACAATACCAAAAAAGCAATAGAAAACCTCACTCCCAATGGGGAATCCTTTGCCACAGCTGTTAAACATCAGATACTAAGTGAGAAAAATGGCTACTAGTCATGATGGCTCTCTTAGCTCCTATATCAGAAGCAGTATGGAATGCACAGAGCTGCCTTATATCGAGAGAGGTGATTGGTCCATCTAACTGAGTATTGTTTACATACATTGGTTGGCAGCAGATCGCCAAGGTTTCAGGCAGGAAATTGCCCCAACCCTGCCAGGAGATGTTGGGGATTGAATTTGGGACCACCTACATGTCCAGCAGATGCTCTACCCCTGGGCTATGGTGTGCTGGTGAGGATCACAAGCTGTGCAGATGCCCTGCTTGTGGACTGGATTTCTGTCCTTATATAAATCAATCAGAGGCTTTGTGGAAAAGCCAGGTTTTGCCCTGATTCCATAAGGCCAGCACCATTTCTGCTCCTACAAATTCTTAGATGCTGAGCAGAAGGTGTATGGGGGCAAATCAATAAGGTGATTCTCACAATCAAGGGCTTTAAAGCTCAGAAATATCCCCTTAAATCAAGCCTGGAAGCAAGGAGGCAGCCAATGAAGATCCAACAAAATTATGAATGACATGGTCCAATTAGCCAACACCAGTCTACAATCTGGCATCAAGATTTCTTAATGCTTTTTAAGGGATGTCCCAGATAGAGTGCATTGCAGTAGTCTAACCTTGAGTTTACCAGAGCCTAATTATTACATTGTGTGTGCTGAGTGTGCCCTCTAATGCACCCAACTCTCCCTTGTGTTTGCACACATGAAAGGAAGATTAACAGTGGTAGGCAAGTTCTTTTTTCCGGAGAACTGTTACCCTGGCACACATTTTGAGAGCTCCTGGCTTGGGCTCTTATGAGCTCTAATAGAGGCACAGTTCTTAACTTCGTAATTTGACTTTCCCTTGTGAGCAATTTTTCTTGACAATTATGCGTATATGATACGTCCCTCTGCATATTTCATAATCATCTGAGCAGAATACTGAGGGTTCGTTTCAGAGATTTGCAGAAAAGTACTCCTTTTAAAAAGTCATGTTTTATTTAAGAAAGCCATCTTTTTCATGGAGAGTCTTTACCACTGACTGTGCAAAAAGAGCCTTTGAGCGTGATCAAAAGTCCTTCCCTGCAATAAATGAGATGCATCTTTCCCCTATCTCTCCTCAGCCCTCTCTGTGCATTTGTCACAGTTTGTTCCTTTATCCTTGACTTGCAGGGCCCCAAATCTCCCAGCATCCTTTGCCTGATCTTCACCCACAGCCTCCTCCATCCCTTATCGAAGTCACACTGCTCTCCTAATTCTTGCACGAAAGCAACACTGCTATGTCCTTGAGCAGAGCAGAAATAATCAAATATTCTCCCCGGGCTCAGATATCCTCTTCTTCACTGCATGCTCTAGGAAACCAATCTTGAAGTGCAACACCAAATGGAACACTCTGATACGCAGCTCTGTGGTAGACATCATGAAATAGGCCTTCAGAACCCATCGGCCAGAGATGGAGAACCTGCTGGACTACAACTCCCATCATCCCTGACAATGCTGGTCAATATTCTACTTGGATCAATGACTTTTCAGAGCAGCAGTTGGCTATAAAGTATAGGACACAGCACTTGAAACATCTTCAGTATTTGGGGAATGGATAATAGAGTGAAGAGGCCTCTTCAGAATATGGAATTCCTTATCCATCTTTTATTGGTGGACTATGCGTTAATCCTGGACCTTCAAAATGCACGGCGTATTATTAACGTCTTGTTTCTCTGCCCTGGCTGAATGAGCCATGTAAGCGCTTCTGGTGCAAATTAACCAAGAGAAGCCTTTAAAATCCACCCTTTTCTTTGCAAATATTAATTCAAAACATAGCTCGTCAAGTCAGATGTATAATTAAAATGGATGTTTGAGCTTAGTGAAAGAGGAAGCTTTTTCTTTCAGAAGCAAGAGGAATTCAAAGAAGCCAGTGCAGGGAGGAAGCTAGCCAGGGGTCCTCGCTTAGTGTCTGCTAGGATGGACTTTCATGCTGCTACTTAATGCAGAAAGGTTTCTTAGTAGCTGTGGGAAATGACTTGGCTATCCCCCATTTATTACCATAAGTTATCACAGTGGTCAAAGGCATGAGTTCAGTTAAACTCTCGTGGTTCTGAAAGCGTGAGGATTTTCAAGTCAATGTTCTACTCATACAGCAACATTTGCAAACCTGATGCCCTCTAGATGTTTTGTACTACAGCTTTGCTGGCAGAGGCTGATGGGAATTGTAGTCCAAAACAACTGGAGAAGCCCCTGCTTGGCAAAGTTGACCATTTAATAATGGTCAACCCATTTGCGAAATGCCTATCCTTATGCAGGTTGCCATCATCCTATATAATGGCATCTTCCACACACAAGAGGAACCTATCTGCAGGTTTGAGGGAACTCCAAAGTTTGAAGAAGCACAGAAAAACCCCTTTAGGTCAGCCTTTCTCAACCTGTGGGTCCCCAGATGTTGTTGGACTACAACTCCCATCACCCCAAGCTAGCAAGGCCAGAGCTCAGGGATGATGGGAGTTGTAGTCCAACAACATCTGGGGACCCACAGGTTGAGAACCACTGCTTTAGGTGGACGAAACCTCAAAGGAATCAAATGCAATACAATGAGAACTCAGAATGGTTACATAATGCTGAATAACTGCTGGGGGAAGAATGGAGACTAATGGGTGGAATATAGTGTCCTTAAAGAGGGTACAACTGGTTGACTGGCACCCTGAATCAGAGTACTCCACACAGCAGCAGGTGGTTTGCAGGTCCCACTCATCGATACCACTTCCCAGTTCCCCCCACATTCTAGCATCACACCAAGAAAGGGAACTGTCTGTTCTCAATGGCTACCACCTCACTTCCAGGGAACAAAGCACATGGGATGCATTTGGGGAGACACTGGTGAGATGTGGCAAAACATGCTCCTTGTCCCAGCACCAAGTGGAACAGAGGTAGATGGAAGGCTCATCCTCACTCCAAATGTATTCCTGAAAAAGGGTATACTTCCTAGAGCATGTGGCTGTCGTGTTATGGGATACAGGGCATTGGATGGTCAGGGGGAAGCATGCACCCATGGAGGAATTTGCTTGGGGGGAAGGGAGGGGAGGACCACCACATTCAAACTCAGCCTTGTATCTGATTCTAGGAATAATCAAGCATATACTCTTCAACCCAGAAAGTTATTGGGTTGGCACAAGTCCACACTGGGTTGGCACAAGTCACATTGGGACTCACCAAGTCACCATGATTTACCCATGGTACTCCATGAAGATCCTTAGATGGAGAATCAGAGGGGGTAGCCTACACTAAGGGACTTTTGCTGTGTTCATGAAGGGGAGAGAAAGAGGTGTGGGCTGAAATGTGTCATTCTAAGCCAGAAAAGAAAGAGAAAAGCCAAAAGAGAAAGAAAGAGAGAGAGAATGAATGAATGAATGAATGAAGAAAGAAAGAACAATCTACGTGGTATTGCACCTGCAATAGTGAACTCTGTGATACTGATTGGCTTAGCAGATATGGTAACAGAACGTCCAGTTGCTCGAGGAACTGGTTTACAGTCCAGCTACTATAGGGAAAGTGGTAGCTGTCAGTACAGCATAGATTAAAATCTCATAGACGCTGGGGAGTGGTGAGAGGCTCCAGTACCTAGGGAAGATTAGATAAGGAACAGGGTGTGCAAGGAGGTCAGAGGAAGGGTGCGGAGCTGATAATGAACCGAGAAAGTTTCTGGAATAAGAGGAGGTGGAGATTGATGCCTGGGGGAAAGGGCAGATGAGAATGGAAACGAGGGCAAATAGGGAATGGCAAAGAATGGGATCTGAAGAAACCTCTCCCTGCTTAATTAAGCAATTGGGCTGTGTGATGTTGGAGAGAGAAAGAGGAATGCTCAGGAGGCATGGTAGCTATGGCCTGTGCACTCTCAGCAGAAGGGAACTCATGGGGAAGGTGGGCCAGGGAGACAAGGGGGCATGGAGCTTCTATACAGAATGGACATCACAGGATTTGACTTTATAACCTTAAGGGGCACCATGGACCCAAAAGCAGGGATATGAGGAAACAATGGGTGATGGGGACATAGAATTGAAGGGATAAGTAAAGAAACGGACAGCCGTTACCAGGCATGATGCAATCTGGGAATGGAGTTATGCCAGAGTAAGGTAAAGGTAAAGGGACCCCTGACCATTAGGTCCAGTCGTGGCCGACTCTGGGGTTGCGGCGCTCATCTCGCTTTACTGGCTGAGGGAGCCGGCGTACAGCTTCCGGGTCATGTGGCCAGCATGACTAAGCTGCTTCTGGCGAACCAGAGCAGCGCATAGAAACGCCGTTTACCTTCCCGCTGGAGCGGTCCCTATTTATCTACTTGCACTTTGACGTGCTTTCAAACTGCTAGGTTGGCAGGAGCAGGGACTGAACAACGGGAGCTCACCCCGTCGTGGGGATTCGAACCACTGACCTTCTGATCGGCAAGCCCTAGGCTCTGTGGTTTAACCCACAGAGCCACCCGCTTCCCTATGCCAGAGTAACATATTGCAAAAGGCTCTTAGCTGGTATTTTGTGATATACCTTAAGGTAGGTCTCCATACAAAGAATCCTTGAAGTGAGCGGTTGGTGACTTTTTGGACCACAGGTGCAGCCAAGATAAAGCAGGAGTGTTATATAGCCCATCTTCCTTCCATTATAGTATTAGTGGCAGTATACATAGGTAGGAACCCAACTGATTCCAGCTAAAAAACCTGCTCTGAGGGTACCAGAGACCATCTTGACTGTGGGTCAGGAAAACATGTTACTCATGACACCTAGAGACAGTCAAGGTGGCGTGGTGTTTAGGGGCTTGTATTGGGGCCAGGATTTCCATGGTGCATTATTTTTGCTGCTTCTGTAATTATGTTTTTGAATTTTCTTATCAGACCTTACTGTGAATTATAAGGGGATTTTTTTAAAAAATAATAATAATTGTTGAATCTTTCTTAATGAGATGCTTTCATTAACTTATTGGTGCTTTGTATGTCGTCATCTTTTGTAAGTTGTGACTTTTGTCATTTCCCTCCCACTGTGTTGAGAGCTGCCTATGGAAAGATGACATACAAATAAATGATGATTTGCAATAATAATAATAATAATAATAATAATAATAATAATAATATCCCTCTCTAAGTACCAGACCAAGAATTGCTCAACTTCAACTAGGTTGGTTGACAGTGGAATTTGCTGCCAAGGAGTGTGGTGGAGTCTCCTTCTTTGGAGGTCTTTAAGCAGAGGCTTGACAACCATATGTCAGGAGTGCTCTGATGGTGTTTCCTGCTTGGCAGGGGGTTGGACTCGATGGCCCTTGTGGTCTCTTCCAACTCTATGATTCTATGATTCTATGGTTCATCATGTACCTTTAAGACCAGCTTTCTCCAATCTGGTTTCTTTCAAATTTATTTTTTATTTGGAATCTGGCTCCCACTAGCCCCAACCAGAGTGGCAGGTGGTCAGGTTTCATGGGAGAGGTAGTCCAAAACATCTGTGAAAGCCTGATTTAGATTGGCATAGCTAGCTTGGTGCCCTCCAGAATTTGTTGAGACTCCTTACCCTGGCCATTGGCCATCCTGGCTTGAGTTCATGGGAGTTGAGTTCACAATGGCTACCCCTGGTTTTGAGAATAGCCTTGAGTCTTGAAACTGGCATGAGGTTGCTGTGTCTACTTCCTGCTTTTCCTTTGCTGGTGACACCCCAACAAATTGGTTGGGCAGGAGTGGGAAAACCTACGAACAGCACCAGGGTGGCCTTTTTACACAACTGAGGCAGAAATACAGCTGCTCAAGTGATTTGGGAATTCCAGCTACAATAACGAGTGCCAGTTATAAAATTCCAGATTTCCCCCAGTCCTATTTCAGTTTTAATGAGGAGGTCTGTTTTCATTTCTAATAAATGAAACATTTAGAAAAGGAAGTGGCATCATTAATCACGAAAGCGTCACTTACACTAATTTATGATACCTACACTCCAAGCACTATCACAAAATTGCTCATGTTTAGGGAATGGTCGTTCCAGGTAGAGAAAGAGATCCATCAGGACAGCCATTCACATTAAAAACATTTTGACAGCTGTGGCAATCAAACCTTTTCACAGGTGCAAGGAAGTGTGTTAAATTCCGCTCTGGCTACAGTCCTACACAGGTCTGTCTGTCTTTCTTCATAACTGCAGTGAAAACAAGATATGGGGGAGATAGTAAGAGTAATTGTCCATAGACAATTCAGAAGTTACAGTGTGCCACCTGAGTTTTTGAAACACCCAGCTGAACTTGAACTCCCCATCAGATGATAAAGAAAAAATAATTTGGAGCCAAGAGGAGAAGAAAAACTTTGTAGCGTTTTGATTACCTTGATTTTGATTATTAAAACCAGTTTGTGTGGTCCAAGAAGGGGAGGGGTTGTGCAAACGCATATTTTTAAAAACACCGTGAAGTAGTACAGTGTGCTGCATAAATGCAGCATGGAAAAGGACAATATTAATACAAATTTTGTGTGTGTGTAAATATATATATAATTTTTATTGATTTTCTTTTCTCATAACAAATATTCAATATCATCATTTAACATCCATTTTCTAATTTCCCCCTCCCTATTGACTTCCCCCAACTTCCATTTCTGGTTTATTACACCAAATGTATCACAGCTGGTTTCTCTCAAACAAACCATACTTGGTTAGCCTAGAACAAGCCATGGTTTAACAACATGGCTTTCCTGGAACGAAACAAACCACCATCCCTAGTTCAGATGTAATGCTAAGCCAGGGATCACCATTTGTCACTCCTGTTTGTGCTAAGGGAACAGTGATGTGGAAACTACCTGTGTGTTCATGGCAAGCTGTTAACCGTTGTTTACTGTGATATGCAGACACTGCCATGATCTCAATACAGTGGTACCTCGGGTTACATACACCTCGGGTTACAGACTCCGCTAGCCCAGAAGTAGTACCTCAGGTTAAGAACTTTACCTCAGGACGAGAACAGAAATCACGCAGCGGCAACGGGAGGCCCCATTAGCTAAAGTGGTACCTCAGGTTAAGAATGGACCTCCGGAACGAATTAAGCTTGTAACCAGAGGTACCACTGTAATTGCCTCAAGAACCCTATAAGGC